GTTCTAGTGTCCAACCAATGTTTGATTAAAGTTTTACTGGGGAACCAATGAATTTATTGAGCTTACCGAGATAACGAGTTGCTGAGGTGTATGTATGACCTGAGGGTATGCATACTGGAAAGCCTTTACCCAGCATGGGTCATGCCTTCTCTTCCTAGCCTTCCCCAGATTTTATACTTTAGCCCTCCCCAAATCCAGGAGGCCATGTGTGATTAGGGTCAAATTACATTCAGCTGGCTGGGAAGAGTGGCTGGATAATGCAGTGAGGGTTCAATGACCCTGCTTGGCCCTCCTTTAATGCATGAGTACAACTGTCAACAAGCCCAAATGTGAGGATGTTTAGCAATCAGGCTCAGCTGAAGTCATGATGATGGTAGTTATTTCATGCAGAAGGGACTGCTGTATAGCATCATCTTATTACGAGGACCTGGAATTTAACAGGATTTTGCTCTTGTTCAGGGAGGCCATGGAGACCCCAGGAGACAGACTTGAACCTGTGTCCAGCCTACAAAGAGGAGGGTCAACTCAGAGGAAACATCTCATTCATGCCTCCAAATGAAGCCAGACATGGTCGAGCAGGACCTTTGACTTATCTTCACATAGATGGAACTGGTAAAAGAAAGGAGCCACGGGTTCCTCCCAAGCCCATGTGATTGACCCCTGAGGAACAGATCCTTAATCAACCTTAAGTGTAAAAATAAGTTGATTTATTTGGGCCAACTTTATGGTCTTAAACAGCCAAAAGGAAAGTATAACCAAAGAGTAAAATCATCAGTATATTTCTTTAAGAGTTCAAGGGATTACACTTCCCAGACATTAGGCTTAAGTCTAAATGAAAAGCTATTTAGACAATTATTCTCATTGATAATTTTGTTCCTAACCAGAAAGTACTGTTCAGATGTAAGACTTCTCGGTCTCCAATACTGTAGTGCCCACCTGTAGCTAAGGGAGACAACCAGCTATTGTTCTAAAATGATGGATAAATCTGTTTTCTCCCCCTATCTAGAAGCCTTTGAGAAGGAACTGACACTGATTCTAACTACTCCAACAGCTATCAAATACCTGAAAGCAAACCCTGAATCCGTCACTCTAGAGTCCAGCCTTGGGAGACTAAAGAAAAATGAGGAGGAACCCAATAGAGGGATGCTTTTGGAAGCCCTTGTCAAGAAATTCCAATGGATTCACATATGAACATTTGAAAATTGCCCCATTCGAACTTTTTTCTAGTTCCCTGTCTAGAACTTGTAATGCTAATTACTCTTGCCTTTACTTCTCCTTCACATCTCCTATTCTCAATTCAAGGACATTCTTTTCCGCCTGGAGATAAGAGTTATGCAATTTGAGAGTTTTTTAGATAGACCCACTGAAGGGGTACTCCAATTGCCTCACCCTGCATCCCTGCTCAGCATGGAAGAAGCCAGAGCGGTCTGCATCCTGATTCCCTATTGGCAATTTGGGTAACCTCTTCAGAGGATGGTGTGATAAGAATAGAAGGTAGGAATCGGCTAGGCAGTTAGGGTAAAAAGACCCCAAAGAAAATTAGCCAGTTTCTTGGCTAAAACTCACCATGTCCTTGGGCTTCTTAGCAACCTGCTCCGTTCCAAAGGCCAAAAATCTTGAAAGTATTTGGGAGCTTTTATCTAATCCTTAAAAGGTTTTAAGGTTACCTCTTCAGAAGGGGGAATGTTAAAGTATCCAAAAGCCCCCAAAAAACAATAAAGAAGGAGAAAGAGTACATGAATTTATCAGAAAAAAAGTGATGGGGAGATATGGGAGGAGTTGGAGAGGATGGAGTGGGCACGGATTTGATCAAAACACCTTATATGTATGTATGAAATTCTCAATAATCTATTTTTTAAAAAAGCCTTCAAAGACTAGGAATCAACAAATATTCAGGCCCTGATGTAAATGCTCATCCAAATGTTTATAAGCATTATTCCTTTGTTTTTATAATATTTAAAACAAATGACTTCTCATAAAGTCCAGAACAGATGTACATAATTGTTGCTTCTGTTGGTCAAAATTAAACCCAGCGCAAACGATTCACAGGGACAAATCGCCATTTAGACAAGAAAACAAATATTTCATATGTAGCTACCAGGCTGACTGAGACTCTGTGGCTCTTCAGACTGCATGCAGCTCCTGTGAGGTGACTGTCTCCGGAAGTTGGTTTGTTTGGTCTGGGAGTTTGCAGTGCTCCTCCCTTGCTTCTCTAGTGCCTAGGCTTCTTTCTTTCCTTTTTTTTTTTTATGCTTTTCCTACCACATTTCTACTCTTCACTCCCTGAATTCCTGCATGGTGTCAAAATCTTTCTTTTACAATGAGCTGTTTGCCTTAGTTTGTTTTTCTGATAAGCTCTTATGCCCTTTGTTATTGCATGAATCCCATCCCACCAGGTTTCCACACGCTCCCTATTTATGGGCATACCTAGGACTAATGTTGAGACCAAAATTAAAAAAAAAAAGAAAATCTACTAAAAAGAAATATTTCAAATGTTATTTCTATATAGTTTTTTAAAAAGTATATATACTGATCTATATGGTCTTCTTTAATTAATTTTCTAAAGTAGAGGGCTATAATGACCAAAAAGAAAGGGCAAGTGAAACACATCAATTTCTTTTCCACTTCATACCACCAAGAATTTGCTTTTGTCCTGGATTAAAACAGCTAAGTAAGCAAAGTGCAATTCTCAAAGTCATGATGATTCTGAAGTTTTAATGATCACTGATGTCAGGTTCAAAGCCATTCACCCTGTGTTTTCAAACAAACTTGCAAGCATATGGGCACACTGGTCTCTCTTGAGGCAGTGGCAGTTGGGACCATGGGCTGAAGCAAAGAACGGTTGGCAGGGCCTGTCTCTACTGCAGCCAGTTCACTGAGACACCAGGTCAAGAATCCTGCTCATCAAACAGTCATGTTTTCTAGTTATCCATGCTATAGAATGCAGAACTTATTTCATCACTACCCCAACCTATTTAATTATTTTAAATACTTGGGAATAATTCACTGTAAAGGGCACAGTTAAAAACAAGTCTATAAAGTTAATAAATTTTAACCCACAATGCCTGTAGGTTGGCATTTTGCCTGCTATATAAACATAATTCAATGAGGGTAAGGGATACAGCTTATTGTTAGAGTTCTTGCTCACCATGTGCAGATACTGGGTTTGAGTCTCAACAATGATCAATAATAATAATAATTTAATATCTGTGAAGGTCAAGCTTCCATATTAAAAATTAGGGGCTTGATTCTATTCTGTGTGAATTCAGATGTAAGAGTATGGCCAGTTGATAGATGCAGGTTGGGGCAAGTGTCTTAGTGCTGGGTTACAGCAGACATCATGTTCTGGGCAGCATTGTTTGACTCGGTCTAATGATACCTGATAAAGAGCCTCTGGCATACGAGCAATCTTTTCCATAAGAGAATTTCAGTAAGAAATCGCCATTTTGAATTCTACCATAATTATATGAAATCCACTTCTTAGTCACAATTATTCCCAGGACAGTTGGCTTGTTGGATTTCTCTTTGCATAAACAAGTCAGTACAAAATCAAGGAGTGAGTTCCCCTGTACTGTGTGATAAGACACTTGAAGTGAATTCTTTAAATGCTCCTGAAAGAGTAGCTTGAAAACTGATTTTATGTATTATTTGAATAGCTTAGCACCAAATAAGCTGTTACCAGGGAGATAAGATATAAAGAGAATCTTGCTTTAGCTGAATGCCATGTCCATGCATGAAGGGGTAAGCAAAAGGAGCCCGGGTTACAGCTGTAATAGCAAAGTCCATACAACAGGCAAGGGCAACGTCTCAGTCTGGTAGTTCCAGGCTGAGGAGTTGGGGGAGGAAATCATATAATCTGAACTCAACTCAGGTTTTAGAAGAGTGGGAGGCTGTTTATGAAAAGTTAAGGCTGTACCCATGAAGTGCCATTCATGAAATACATCACAGGCCCATTCGGGAAAGGGATGGAACTACAGTCCCATTCATGAGATGTATCACATTGCAAGCCCATTCAGGAAACACATGACACTGCAGGCCCATTCATGACAGTGCAGACCCATTCATGACACTGCAAGTCCATTCATGACATTACAGGCCCATTCATGACACTGGAGGCCCATTCATGACACTGCAAGTCCTTTCATGACATTACAGGCCCATTCATGACACTGCAGGCCCATTTATGACACCAAAGACCCATTTCTGGCCCTGCAAGTTCATTCTAACTCTGGCTCTGCATTGTCACTGTGTTTACAATTTGTTCTTATTGGTGAAACTGGATTCTAGAAAAGTAAACATAGATTCTTAATCCAACATGGAACAAATCCCCATGTTCATTTTCACCAAAAGTAATAAACTCATTTAAAATTAAAAAATTGTGAAAACTGGGGCTGGAGAGATGGCTCAAATGTTAAGAGCACTAGCTGCTCTTGCACAGGAGAAGGGTTTGTTTCCCAGCATCCACATGGTAGCTCACAATCATCAGTAACTTCAGGTCCAGGGGAACCAACGGCCTCTTCTGGCTCCACAGGCACCAGCCATGCACACACACAGGCAAACCAGGAATACACGTAAGATAAAAATAAATAAATATTTGAAAAATGTGAAAACTAAAAACATTAAACATTTCCTATTTATGTTGCATAATAAATGATCCAAAAACTCCTATGTTAGCAATGTGTGCTACTCCATCACTTTGTACAGTCCACAGGTTCACAATCGAGGTTTTATGAAGTTTACCATTAAGGAATGAGAAGCAGAAACTAAAGCATCTAGAAAGTATTTGTGATGGAGACAGTAGAGATGGAAAGTTAGAGCAATAATTTGTAACTTGATGAAAAAAGAGATAATAGTGCTCTTTAAGTGCAATGAAGTATTTTTTTCAGGGTAGAATATAAGAACATATTAACAACTACTACCTTCAATCGTGGGTATGATTCTAACAAAATTTCAGTAATTCCACATTTTATGGAAAAGTCTAATGGGAGCGACACTCTTACCATCTGTTTTCTTTGAATCATTTCCGACGTTGGGGTGATCCTTCTTGTCTGCCTTATTTTTCCCTTCTTTCAAGTCACCTGAAAGCAGAAAGCATGAAAAACAGTGTGTATGTACAGTGGAGGAAGGGAGAGAGGCGCTACACCTACCAAGAGAAAACCAGAGTGCAGCACAGTTTACAGTCAGGAGGGAGTACGTGTCTCGGCGTCAGCCTCCTTTGTAACCATGTTAGGTTCTGGAAATCAGATTATAATCAGAAATTATAACTGAAAACCCCTGTCAAACAGGGTTGTACTTAAGTCAATGGTGTTTATTTTCCATGAATGGCAAGAAAATTTTGTTGTTAGGCTGTGGAATGAGGAAAAACCTGGAATAAATGTAGGTTCTACTAATTAATAGCTATTTAACAACTCTATATTTTATTTTTCTTATGTGCAAAACAGGGGTAAAAATATATGTCTTATAGACCAGTAGATAAATGTATTTAAGCCATCTAAGTGCTCAGTATAATACATGGTATATTTCTCAAAACTAAACGAAGTTATAAATGCCAATATAATTTGTAAAAGTTTTAAAAAAAGACTACTCTTGGTTGGTCCACACCTTTAATCACAGCACTCTAGAGACAGGTGGATCTCTGTGTGATCAGGTCAGCTTGGTGAATACAGCCAGCTCCAGGTCAACTGGGGCTACTTCCCAGCACTCAGGAGGCAGAAGCTGGTGGATCTCTGTGAGACTGAGGGCGGCCTGGTCTACATAGTGAGTTCCAGGCCAGCTGGGGCTATAGGAAGTCCCTGTCTCAAAAATACCTCCCCCAAAAAGGAAAAAAATGTTTTATCACAAAAAATACTACTTTTATAAGCATAAAGTAAACGTGTCAAAAATGTATTTAATTCATTTATGAGGGAAATAGCAAGAAAAAAAGATGGTCCTATGAGGGTTTAAGGAATTATTTATGTGCATGTTACAGATGCATTAAAATATGATTGCTAAGTAAGAGGCAATTTGTTTATGACCAAAGAACAATATACGGCAACCTCTGGGGTTGAATCTGTTAGCACATAAATTTATAGTTCTATGCCAAATAGTAAACAGTGAATTTACACACTCCCCAAAATCATGGTCAGCAAGTTCTGGGCCAATCAGGCCTGACACCTGTTTTATTGGCATCAGGCACATGACATACCCATAACTGTATATTCTCTGTGATGGTTTCGTTTTGCAATGACAGAGTTGAGTAGCTGCAAGAGAGACACACAACTTCAGAAATACTGCCTGTATTACAGAGTAAGGGTGCTACCCCTTGTGGAGGGCAATCATCCGAGGATAGATCTGCTCAGTAACAACGTGCAGATTCCTGAACACCTTGCACCAGCCTTATTTCCAAATTTTGGCTCTTTTTCTTACTAGTCTTACTAATGGCACATGGGTTTTTAGCCTGTATGAAGAAGCTAGGACATGATTACTTAAATACTGTATAGTCACAGACACAAAAGATCGTATCAGCAAGTTCAGTGAGCAGAGCTGCAGGATGTGTGTTCGAGGAAAGGGATTTACCTGTTTTCTCTGTGTGCTAAGGGCTTTTCACATATCACTTCTATAAAGTCTTACAGCAACTCCAGTATGAAAGAACTGTTGTCAAAAGTAGACAAATGCACCAAAGATTCCTTGGCTGAGGGGTGAACAGGCCACTCACCACGTGACAGAGGATGCCTCCCAAGTCTGAGTTTTTCCTTGGCAGCACTTGTTGCCACCTGGGCAAACAACGGCCTGTGTCACAAGGAGTGGACTACCACCAGCATGTGTTTAGACACTACTCTAGCCTCACCTCTGACCCAGCCTCATACCTGCATCTCACTCTGGTGTCCAAACTATTCCTGGCAGCTACTAGAGGTCTTTTCTAAGCCACCTGTCTGACAGAGTTTTCTGAACCAATGTTCAATGTTTTGATCAAAACAATCAAAGTAATTGTGCTTAAGACAGCTTGCAGGGAACCGACCTCAGACTTACGTTATCACCTGCAGCAAAGTAACTACACAGCCCACACAGGTGCTCTGATTCCAGTGGCCCAGTATTTATTCTACAAAGTATATATACTTTTAATTTGACAAATCTGCTAATTGGAAATCAACAGATTCCCACGGTTTGCTTTAATTCTTGATTCTGAAACTGGATGACTGAGAAGGCTGTCTTGTTCATAATCTGTACAGGATGGGCATGAGTATAGACTTCTGGACCACCAGTGGCTGAAAGAGGGTTCTTCTGGAATTCCCATGAAATAGTCTAGCTTTTTGTTATTTAAGGATACCAGGGATGGACTCAAGGATTTCAAGTACTGTGGTTAAATTAGCTCCTGGCAGAAAAATGATCTGTCTTCTCTGTATGAAATTTCATCCTCCTAGTAACTGTCTGGGGTCTTCCATGCTGCTCTGAGCTGCTGCTGCAAATGTCTGAAGAGAGGACTGGGTTGGCTGGTGGCTGTGAGCAGTCATACAGCCTGTCTTCTCAGCCAGGGCCAAGGAGCCCAGAAAGGAAGTTGCCTTGGTGAGACTGATTTAAAAGATCCTGTAATGGAACCACTGTAACCAACATCCTTCAGCCCTAACCTAGGCAGTGTTTAGGTAGCCCACAAAGAAGTGTGCTAAGGAATGGTACATGCCTGTCTGCTGAGTTCCCGGAATAGAACCCATTAGGTGATCTTTCATGGCCGTACATAGACAATGGCAGGTGTAAATGGGCTCAATAGACTGGAAACGAGAATCTTCTGGGCAGTTATAAATCGTTTTAATTAGGCTGCTGAAACCAAGTCCCTAGCCACCACTGTCCTTTCTAATTATTGCTCTAAATGGATTTCCTTACCCACCTCTCATTTCATCCTTAATTTTTAAGGTAAATGTAGACTGCTGCCCATTCTAGGAGGTAAATGTGGCTGTAAAATCAAGTCAGCCTGAATGAAGGCTTGGACTCCTGATCTTTGTCCCTTAGATTCTCTCCTCAGTTATCTTCAAAGTGAATTACTGTCTCCTATGCCTGTTGAATCTTTGTAGAGCTGCTAACACCCTCCCCCCCAACCCTGTGTGTGTGTGTATGTGTATGTGTGTGTATGCGTGTGTGTGTGTGTGTGTGTGTGTGTGTGTGAGAGAGAGAGAGACTAGCTTATTTGTATTCATTGATTCCCCTCAACAAACCAAAACCAAGTGTTAGCAAAACCCTGTCTGTTGCCTGGTTTTGCATGACTCATAATCTAAGAATGGCTTTTATATCTACAAAGTGTTACTTAAAAATGGACACCATGTGACATGAACTCCAGATAGTATTCAAATTTCAGTTTCCAGAGACAAAGTCTCATTGGGATACGGCCTCACTGATGTGCTCATGTAGTGCCTTCAGCTTCTTTTCCCATGAGGACTTGCCGAGTAGCTGCATCAGAAAACACAGCTTAAAGACAAACACATTTACTATCTGGCTCATTATAGGAAAAGTGACCAGCCCTTGCCTTATGGACACCAGGTAAGACTCTGTATCCCTCTGATTTCATGTCTTCTGTACAGCACTGGACTTGCAGACATGAAGCCAGTGGTGGCTACAGAACAGAGGAGGGGGATACACAAAAGCCATGGGTTGCTTAACCCTAAGCAAGTCTTTTTACAAGCCTGAGTCTCAGTTTTCCCATCTATACCAGGGGAGTGTGTGTGTGTGTGTGTGTGTGTGTGTGTGTGTGTGTACATGTCCATGTATGTGTACAGGTGTATCTGTGTGTCCGTGCCTGTGAAGGCCAGAGGTCAACCTAAAGCACCATCTGCCTTGCTTTCTGAGACAGGGTTTCTCACTGGTCTGACTACCATGTTTATTACTAAATAACGCTCATAATGGGCTGGGGCTGTGAACAGGTTTTATGCACATTTTTAAAAATTTTTAATAACTACATGATTAGAAGAAGCATTTCATTACAGCTTTAACATATTCAGTAACATACTCCAGAGCAAGAGTACATCTCTTTCACAAGTGGCTGCAAGTTTCTAGGTTCACAGTTGAATTAATACAGTTATACAATATTGAACTCAGTATAAGCCCT